GTGTGTTATGATAACGAGGCATTGCAATCAATTGAATTGATTTTCTCTTGATGTTTTTTTTTTCCATAGAGTTTGGGTGGGGAAAAATATGACGTGTGCGGATTTTTTTTGGAGGTTGGTGCGTGGCACCCGAGCCGTATCCCCCACCGACTATCAGCTCGTCGTGATCGACATGCAAGAGTCCAGACCGGCGCCTTCCCATGGTCAAATCATCGTCGCCGTCTGGATAAGAAGCGGGCCATTGGACCACCACCACGGCTTGTGCTTCACCGCTTCCATGTGCTCCGAGAGGTGGTTGCTTGCATGGGGATTTTTTCCTCTTTCTCCATCCCCGGTCGCTGATTCGACCAACAGCCATTGACCAGTCGTCCGGTTCTATTTTCTTCACTCCTCACACACCCTCCGTCCCTTGATCGACCACAATAAATGTCGCCGCCGACGCCACCCCCATGCAACCGCTAAGCAGACTCTTCAACCCTACTGCACCGACATGGGAGTGCTGGGCTGCTGTTAGTGCAACTTAGCTGGTAGGCATGGAGGGGAGTGTGGCTCTGTGGGAGTGAATCCAAGGTAGTGCCGACCCGTCATTCCTGCCCTCGCGTTACATGGCGCCTCCACCACTACTCCATGTCGTCCATGTCGTCACCACTCCGGGCACGAAACGCTGGGTTGGCACCGTCTTATCTCTTGGCTGCTCATCATTCCATCCCTTCGCGCATGCGAACACACAATCACGCAAGCACCAACCGGGCGGCCGCAGCGGCGACCGACTCAGCATCTGCCTCTTCAGTTCTAGGCAGGCATGGTATGTAGGAGAAGTAGGGAAGGAGGGGGCGAGCTCTCATGGAAGGAGCCATCTGAGGAGGAGGAGGAGGAGAACGGGGGACAAAATGGCAGCAGCGTCGTCGCATTCGCCCCCTTCTCCTCCTCTTCTGTCCACGCCCCTACGCCCCCTCCTGCCCGCCGACCACACCACTTTCCCTCTTGTAAGACGGCTCCGGTGCCACTGCGACGTCGGCATTGCTCGAGATAATCTCCTCGTTACCGTGCTCCTCGTGTGAAACATCCTTGCGGGTTGCTGGAGACGCCCGACGCTATTGCCTCCCACCCTAGTTCCCTCTGCCGCCTCCCGTAGACTGGCCATATCTTTTGGCCTCTGCTGCCTTGTTGCCTCCCCCTATTGCCCGCCATCCCTATTTAGATCCACAGGATCCTGCTCCATCCTTCTGCAAATCCTTGGACCCTTGACGTTGCAAGGTCCATCTTGATCCTCTTCCCCTCCAGTGCTGCCTCTTGCCATCTGGGAAAGACGGCTCGGCCCGTCTCTGCACTGAGAGAAACTCTTGAACATAGACCACCCCAACCCCAACATCACAATGTCCTCGTCAGAGAGAGATACCGCCCATCAAGGCACAGGCGAGGAGCGCCGCGGCTCCATCCTGTCCGCCCTCTTACCAAGGGCTGCAGGTGGCCGCCGCGACTCCATCCTCGCCGACCTGCTCCCCGAGAGCCTGCCCCTTCCGTCGTCCTTTGTGGCGACAGCTCCCATCGTCCAAGAGATCCTCACCAGAGACATTGCAGAATGCTCTGACGACGACGACGAGGACGACTACGACGAGCGTGACTTCTTCCCCGGCTACGAGGACAGGATGCCGGGCTCGCACCGCAACAGCAGCCAGGCGGACCGCACAGAACCAACGACGCAATCAACATCCACAATAACGCAAGACGTAGACGCAGATGTTCGCTCCCCAAGCTCAGATCTGCCGCCGCCCGCGCGCCGCCCGCGCCGCGACAGCGGCCGGCGCGGGTCCGCGGCCGACTCGGCGCGGCTGGCCTTCCACCCCAACGGCGTAGCCTTTGGGCTCTCTGGCTTCTCGTCGGTGTCGATCCAGGGCGTGGACCGGCCGGTGGCGAACCCGCAGGAGGTGAGCGAGTCGCTGGGCGCCGAGGTGCGGCTGCTGCGTGACAACGGCCTCATCCCGCCGCGCCACCCGGACGCCGAGCGCCGCCGCCGCAGCAGTGCCACCCTCGCCGGCCGCGTCTACCGCCGCTTCTTCAGCACCCGCGTCCGCGATCACGAGGGCGACCAGGTGCCCATCTTCTCCACCGACATGTTTGCCTCGTCCAGCCACTCGGTCCTGCCGGGCGTCCAGGAGCAGCAGCAGGGACAAGAACAGCCCGACGAGCGTGCCCCGCTGCTCGGATCGCACCGGGCCAAAGCTGGCGGCCATGGCGCCACGGGCGACGCTGCCAGCATTGCGTCCAGCGACAGCTCCATGGACGAGACCATCCCGACGCCGCCGGCCGACGAGATCCACGACCGCTGGGAGGAGGCCATCGCCGCCCACTGCATCCAGACGACGTGGCAGCGTGAGACCAAGACTTTGGTCCAGTACGCCGCTCCCTTGATTGTGACGTTCCTGCTACACTACTCTGTCACCGTTGCCAGCGTGCTCACCGTCGGGCGGCTGGGCATGGTCGAGTTGGCCGCCGTGAATCGTGAGTAACAACGATCCCCTCGCTTCTTCGTTGGCTGACGGATCTGCTCCATAAAAGTGGCTACCATGACCGCCAGTATCACTTGCTACGTCCCCGTTCAGGGCCTCGCCACGTGCCTGGATACGCTGTGCGCGCAGGCCTACGGCTCTGGACATAAGCATCTCGTTGGCCTTCAGGTATGGTTTGGACATGTGATTGGGCGCATCAGGACCTTTTGTCAAACTTGCTTATACTAACTAACCTGTTCTTCTCAGGCCCAACGCATGACCTGGTTCCTCTGGATCCTCATGGTCCCCATCGCCGTGCTCTGGTGGTTCTCGGGCCCGATCCTCGAGGCCCTGGTGCCGAGCAAGGAGACGGCGGCCCTGGCGGCCCTGTACCTCCGCTTCCTGATCCTGGGCATGCCCGGCGTCGCCGCCTTCGAGTCGGGCAAGCGTTTCGTCCAGGCCCAGGGCCTGTTCCGCGCCACCACGTACGTGCTGCTGGTCGGCGCCCCGCTCAGCTTCTTGCAGAACTGGCTCTTCGTCTTCAAGCTCGGCTGGCACTTTGCCGGCGCCGCCACCGCCATGGCCATCACGCAAAACCTGCTCCCGCTCCTGCTGGTGCTATACGTGCGCTTTGTGGACGGGAGGCAGTGTTGGAAGGGCTTTACCTGGAAGGCGTTTAGCAACTGGGGTTCGTGGTCTCGCTGCTGTCCAATGCTTTGTTCCCCCCCCTTTTTTTTTGTCGTCGGAGCTGCTGTGCTAACTGGCCGATCATCCCTTACAGGCCCCATGATCAAGCTCGCCCTCCCCGGTATGATCATGATCGAAGCGCAGTTTTCCGTACTGGAAATCCTCACCCTCGCCGCGGGCCACCTCGGCACGGCGCAGCTGGCGGCCCAGAGCGTACTCGTGACGGTCACGTCGACGTCGTTCAACGTGCCCTTCCCGCTCGCCATCGCCACCTCGACGCGCGTCGCCAATCTCATCGGCGCCAACCTGGGCGACGCCGCCCGCAAGACGGCAAAGGTGGCCATCGTGGCCGCCTGCGCCGTCGGGCTCGTCAACATGACGCTCCTTATTACCCTGCGCCGCACCCTGCCCGCCGTGTTTACGGCCGACGAGGAGGTGATATCGATCGCCTCGCACGTAATGCTCGTCTGCGCCGTTATGCAGATCTTCGACGCCCTGGCCGCGGTCTCGCATGGAATCCTCAGGGGCGTCGGCCGCCAGGCCATCGGCGGCTACGCCAACCTCTTTTCGTACTACTTTATCGCCCTGCCCGTCTCGCTCTCGACGGCCTTTGCGCTAGGCTGGAAGCTCAGCGGTCTCTGGGCAGGCTTGGTGGCTGGTCTTGCCGTGTAAGTGCTGCCGCCATTCTCGTTTCTTTCCCACTGCCGGGGTCCGTCAGTACATCAACGGCCAGTGTATGCTAACGTCGATTGTGTGATTCTGGGTTCAGCGTATCGGCACTTGAGCTGCTTTACCTTTACAGCTCAGATTGGGATAGTGCCATCGTCCAGGCCGCCGAAAGGATGCGTTCTGAGGAGGTGGATATTGGTGAGCCAAAGGCCACCAACGTTTAAGTAGCAATGGAAATTCCGAAAATGAGATATGGATATGAGATAGCGAATTCTAAAAAAAAAAACCCAAAAAAGAAAAAGAAAAACGCATGTAATGCTTGACTTGTCAGCTCCATATTCTCTGCTAGGTACGGCTATGGGCTATGAAAAGCAAATTCTAAACATTATAACCCTGTTCGGTTGCTGAAGCCATGTCTTGACCCTCCCAGGAGTCCAGCGAAAGACGGGCTGAGCTGATGCCGCTGTTCACTCCGCAGTAGAGTGCGCTGCTGTTACGAGATTATATTCCGCTATTATCAGGTCTTCCGCTTCGTTCCTGGTACCTTGCTCGCCCCCACTTGCTGTACCGGATCAAATGCTGCCATAACTTAGCCTGCCGCTTGTCTGATACCCCGCGGTCTGCAAGTATTTGACCGGCATCCTTATCCAGCACCCACAGCAGAAAAGCATGCGCCTCAAGCGCAGTCGTGGTCTGGGTGAAATCCACGCATGCATACCAGTCCTCGCAGCAAGGGCAAAGATAGCCGTCTGCATCCCCGTCGAGCCAGAGCGAGCAGGCTTGAGAGTTGCGCGACAAGACATGCTCGACGGATGCCTTGGTCACCCACACCTTGGTGAGGGCGGCCGCTTCCCCCGGCTTGATAAAAGAGATGGATCTGATGTAGCTAGGATTTGCGCTACTGCAGTGGACCCAGGCGGACACCCCTTTGCCGTCGCTGCTTGTCGACAATTTGCTGCCCACGGGTGGGCCTCGTACCCCCGTGCCGGTGAACGCCCCGATTTCCTCTCCCGTTTTCTTGGAGGCGATCTCCCCATAGGCAGTCTCTAGCTGGTTGGGCGACCAACCCACGGCGACGCTCACACATGCCATGGCGGTTTTCCACAGCGGAGAGATCTCGATTGGTGTAAGCATTGGCGTCTGTGATTTTCCGGTGTCACTGGCTTTAATTTGACGAGCTCCATCTGGAGTGACACCACCCTCGGCGGCGGCGTCCTGAGTGACCTTGACGTCACGAGTGGCCTCAGCTTCGGAGGGGCCAGCTTGGAGGGTTCTGGATTTAGCGTTTCCAGCTGGGGAGGCATTGCTGCCCTGCATATCGGGGCGATCAGATTTGATCTGGGATACCGAGGAATTAGAAAATTGTATCCTTATCACTTGAACCGCATGCACCGATAGCGAAGTAAGAGATGCAATGACACATACCTTGGACTGAGCCATGGAGGATGCTTTGGAAATTGCCTGAATTCCTCTCAATCTCGTGAGGGCTTTATAGAATGCCCTGCCCCTCTCGTTCTTGAGCTTGTTCTCTATCGAGGGCGGCTGCAGGGACGGGAGAGAGCCAGGCTGTGAGGTATACATCGCTTGTGCCGGAGTTGAGGCTGCTCTGTTCTGGGACGGATTGCGGACAAGCGTGTCAGGGAGATTATTCTGGAAAGGCTCATCGCCCCTCTGCCTCTTTCCCGGGCGGCCGGAGTTGAAAGACATGCTGGATGTCGAAGACTCAAATGATCGCTATGCTGAGGGTGTTCTGGGTCGAGGCGGAGGGATTGTAGGATTGAAAATGGGGATATTCGAAGAGATGCCAGTGCTTGTGGCGGAATGTTAGTGGTTTTCCCTAGGCTTTGACCGGACTGGAAGATTATCGAAGGCGGTGCTAGTTATCTTCGTACCGGAACACGTGCAGGGAAGCTGCCTGCAGAGAGAGAGAGAGAGAGAGAGAGAGAGAGAGAGAGAGAGAGAGAGAGAGAGAGAGAGAGAGAGAGAGAGAGACGACGACGACGACGACGACGACGACGGTACGTACGGTACGTACGGTAC